AAACCCAGTTCGTGAGCCCCCTCCCCAGCGCTGTTGGAAGCCACACCTCTTTCAGGAAGGGAGGGGTGACGGCTGAGACTGCTTCCTCACGCACAAACCTGAGCTTGGTGGTGACTGACTCCTGGCTGGACTTGACCGTCATGGCCACATACAGCTTTTTATATGAGATAACTTAACAGGTGTCCAGGCTCCTGGGAGCATGGCTGGCTGTGCCCGCACCCACCTTCCCCAGGAGACCCCAGGGGTGGACCCCGGTGCTCTGCCTTGGCGGGCTGCCCTCAGTAACTGCACCCCTCCCCCCAGGTCACCAGCATTTGTGGAACCAAAGGACAGTGCAGGTCAGTGGGGGGAAAGGTCACCTTGGGTGGCTCCTGCCATGTGGCCTCAGGCAAACATCCCTCCCCGTGCCTCAGCTTCCTGGGGGATGAATTGGGGCCCTGCCTCCCTCCAGAGTGGTTGTGAGGGGACAGGTGGGGACAGGTGTCAGAGTGCTTTGAAAACTCATCTCCACAAACAGGGGAGTACTGAGAGGCGCCCGTGTCTGGTCCTGGTTTTCTGAAGCTGTTTTCCTTACAGACTTTAAAGCACATGATTCCTCCAAATACAAACCAGAACAGTAGTGTGAGCTGACTACACTTAAGTCCTCAGTGAGCAAACCTTTAACTGGAGCCCCATAGTGAGCAGCGTCGTAATCTGGCCTCGGCGTGCCCACCACCCACTCTGGCTCAGGCCAGCCCTCGGTCCTCCCTGGACCGTCTCACTAGCAAAGGGTCTCAGAGAAGGGAGGGATCAGACATGGCTTGTGAGAAGGAGCCAAGCGCCCCCACTGGGGGTGAACTACAGATTTGGCCGGAAGCTTCCTGGCAGCCACTGGGAAAGGAGAAAACTGTCACACATTCTCTTAAACAAAAGCAAACTGACTTCTCAGGAAATGGTTCCCTCTTACAGGAAAACCATTGCAGTGTCTCCCAGACGTGACAGGAAGGGACCGGCTAGAGGAGACGTCTCGGGACGCTTGTCTCCATGCTCTGCACATTCCACCAACACCAAGGAAAGTCCTTCCCAGGGGCGGCAGGCAGTGAGGGTCCCAGGGCACAGAGAACCAGAGGTGAGTTCCAGCCTCTAGCAGTGTAGGACTCAGCCGCGGGCCCCGTTAAACACCCGTGGGCAAGTCCCCAGAGCAACATGCCAGCCGCAGAACTGTAACAATGACTTGAAACAAGCAGTCTCTCCTAACTAGAGTTCGTCAGCTGTGCAGCTGGTCCTGTGGACAGACAGGAGGGAGGGAGGGAACTGAGCCCCGAGGGCACACTGAGTCCCCTGCTCAGAGGCCCTGGCAGGGCAGCTATGACCTTGGAAGACACATTCCAACACAGGAGGAACATGAGTCTTTCTGCCCTTTACTGACATTTATGAGAATTCCTGATTAAAACACTGCCCTTAGGGCCGGGAACCTGGGCAAGCAAGACACATAAGGTGGCCTTTAGTTTAACTTCAGTAATCACACCAGGCATCTTCCCTGTTGGAATGCTGATTACTGATATTCTAAAACCAAACACATCACAAACATCCCCCGGCAAATAAACGACAGGGCTGTTATTAACAATTCTGTTATTAACAATTCTCTATTTATTAAAAAGGGTCTTAACAGCTTTACAACCACAGCTCAGACACGGCCCTGGAGATGGTGCGGCCAGGCTGGCAGCCCCGTCCCCACATCAACGCCGAGCTCACACGTTTGGCTGAGCCCCGTGTGGGCTGTGGGCACTCCGGACAGCGGGGTGGACGGCAGAGGTACGGGGTGGGTGGCACGGCTCTTGAGATGCAGACGTGGCAGGCCCACCTGATTGGCAGGGCAGTAAATTGTCCTTTACTGCTATTTTCTTTAGAAACAGTTCTGATACAGTAGAGTTCCAGTCCAGGAGTAGAAATGTCTGGTAATTGAGGACAAGGTTGGTGGCCTCGCCCGGGGTCTGCTGGGACAGACCCGTTTGAGCTCTGCCTGTGTTCCATCACCTGGGCAGTCGAGGCCGGGGCCAGGAATGCCACAACTCAGCACACAGGCTTTTTTTGTCAACAGGCAGGTGGGCCCTGGGAATTCACACAATGGCACATGTGGACAGAACCCGGAGGGGCAGGAAGAGCCTGGGGCACGGCCAGAGCATCGGAGCCGGTGGGCACCCTCTAACACCGAGGGGGGGGCTTTCTCCAGACAAGCTGAGACGCTGCTGGTGTCCCTCAGGCCCACCCCCGCCCCACCTGTGCCCCGAGGCCCCGCCAGAGGCGGGCAGGCTTTTCTCCCTCCTTCAACAGCAAACGCAGACAAGCCCCTCCCGGACACTGGGCAGCAGCTGGTGTCAGTGCCCCGCAGCCTGGCCGGCCCCTCCCTGGCACCAGGTGAAGCTAAGGCACAGCACAGGCACCTGCAGTGCGACCCGTGCACTGCTTGCAAGAAAGGAAATTGCATTCACTTTATCTGCATCTCAATCTGCTCAGAACAATATATGCATTTTTTATAAAGTTTCCCTGAATGATCTTAAGTGTCAAAAAAGTTTTCTTTCCCAATATAAAACAGGAAAATTACACACACAGTAAAAATATGGGGGAGTTTTTCTTCATAGAAAGCCTCGGGGGCTGGCTCGAGGTGCAGGAGGAAGAGGAGCTGGGCAGAGTCCAGCTCACACCCGTCTCCTCACCTGGCCACAACTCGCCTGGCTTCTGGGCATGGCAGTGGGCCAAGTGCAAACTCTGCAGGTAGCTGTGAAGCCTCAGGGTTTAGGGGGAGTGGTGTGGGGGGGTGACAACTCCCCGCACCGATTTAGTCAGCACCTTCCAGGCTGGCCCACCCGACCGACCCCCACCAGGGGCTGCAGTGGGTGGTGGGCTGGGACACACAGAACCGTTTTGAAAATAAAGCAGAAATGATGAACCATGCTTATTAAATAAAGCTGCGACGGGAGGACCACGACCCAAAGTGGCAATGGGGGGAGGCTTTGTTCCCCAAAACGCGTAAGTTCGTCAACACTAAAGACAGAGAAGTTATACCGAGAACACAAGCGGGCGTGGCCATGGGGGTGCCAGGCAGAGGCCCAGCACACAACCAACCAGGTGTCCAAAACCAGGGTTCTACGTCTACTTACCACGGACCTACAGCTCTAAAACCAGACAGGTGCGCGGGTCCGGGCACCGGAGCCCCCAGTCAAGCAGCCGGTGCTCACAGCTTCCGCGTGCGCAGAGCCCCGGTCGGCAGGCGCAGGCGTCTCCCAGGAAGACGGAGGGACGCTCACTGGAGGATGAAGCCCGGCTGGTGCGGAGACAGTCGGGGCGGGGGTCTCTGGGGCAGAGCCGGCGGGTATGGTGACACGAAGGGCGAGGAGAA